CAACAAGTTAAACATGAGCCAACAATGTCATAGGGCAGCAAAAAAAAAAAGCCAATGGGATTTTGACCTGCATAAATACAAGTCTTGGGTCTAGATCCAGGGAAGTCATGCTACCCTTCTATTCCGCCTTGGTCAGATGACACCAGGAATACTGTGTCCAGTTCTGGGTACCGCAATTGAAGAGAGATGTGGACAAGCTGGAATGTGTCCAGAGGAGGGTGATTAAAATTATCAAGGGGCTGGAGAACAAGCCCTATGAGGAGTGGCTTAAAGATCTTAACATATTTAACATTCAGAAGAAAGGCTGAGAGGAGACATGTATAAATATGTGAGTGGAAGTTATGGTGAGGGAGAAGCAAGCTTGTTTTCTGCTGCCCTGGAGACTAGGATGTGGAGCAATGGCCTCAGACTACAGGAAAGGAGGTGCCACCTTAACATGAGGAAGAACTGCCTAACTGTGAGAGCTGTTCAGCAGTGGAACTCTCTGCCCTGGAGTGTGGTGGAGGCTTCTTCTTTGGATTCTTTTAAACAGAGACTGGATGGCCATCTGTCAGGGGTGCTTTGAATATGATTTTCCTGCCTTTTTGGCAGGGGATTGGACTGGATGGTCCACGAAGTCTCTTCCAACTCAATGATTCTATGATTAGACAACAAACAGTATAAAACATTAGTTAAACACACAGTAATCCCAATAAGTTGAATAAAATATAGTTAAGCTCCCTCTCACTGCCTTGTCTGTGTACAATGTACTTGTACACCTTTTGGACCAAGACACCAAAGGGCAATACACAATTTAGAAAACATTCATGCACAGCAGAATTAATCATGATGAAAATCCCCTTTTATAGACATCAAGGTCCTATAGAGTTCTGCTTGCCTTTGAGTTGTAGTTCCCCATGTTGCCATAATTTGTGGGCATATGGTAATAATTCCAGTATTTGGTGCTATTTTACTATGTCACGTTGCTCCTTTTTTCACGTGCAAAATGCAATATGCAAACCTGTTTGTTTGTCTATCTGTATGTTTGATATTCTACCTTTCTCCCAATACGAGATGCAAGATGGGATAAAATGTGTTAAAAATAAAACAGCCTAAGACAACCAATAATACAAACATTATTAAAACCCATTTCATAAACAATCCAATTAAAACAACGATTTAATGTAGTTTGAAAACATGATATAAAAATACATCACATGCCATTAAAAACCCCTTTTAAGATGAATTTCAGGATTACTCTTTTTAATCTTGAGCTATAAAATCCATTTTAATCTTAAAAATCTGACCCCATGCTGTCTTTTACTGAAATATTAATGGATTGCCCTGCTGCATTTTTGAGACTGTGATGGGACGGATCCCTTTCTGAGGAATCCTTAGTTTGAGAAGCCTAGATAGAGACACCCGTTACTTTTTAAAGTGGCATCAATAAGAGCCAGAAACTTTGAAATTGTGAATTGACCATACAAATAATGGTCAATATAACGTGCAGTTTGAGGTTATTTTGGCACAGTTCTGCTATCAGTGGGTTGGTTAAGAAGAATACAAAAATGTGTTGTTGTGTACCTTTAACTATTTCCAACTTATGGCAACCCAATTACAGGGATTTCTTGACAGGATTTGTTCAGAGGAGGTTTGCCTTTGCCTTTCTTTGGGGCTGAGAAAGAGAGATTTGCCCAAGGTCACCCATTGGCTTTCCATGGTCAGGCTGGGATTTAATTTGGTCTCCAGAGTTGTTGTCCCACGCTCAAAAAACTACAGGATGGTGGTATAACAATGCATGCCTGTTGTACCAGGATCAAAGCCATTTAAGCATGTAAATAATAGCTGTTGTTTGGTATATAGTATTTTTCTAAATAATTGTATGCATTAGTTTACACTTTAGCTTTGTTATATGCTGGCCATTTTCCATGTAACTATTGACTATTTCAGATATTTTTTTTATTCTTGCTAATTATTCTGTTGATCTTTGTACATATGGAAATAAGTCTATTTAGTGAAAATAACATTCTTTATCATCATCTTCCCCTTTTGTAACAAATACAATTTTTTTCAGGCCTTCATTCTTTTGTGTGATACTCTTCTGGTAATCAAAACCCAAGTCCAGTTGCTCTTCCCATGGAGAGTAGCTGAACGTTTGACTACAATTCTGTGTATCCCATCGAGTCAATTGGTCTGTTCTAGCTTGTACTAACAATGTCCCAGTGGAACAACACTGAATTTAACATAAATAGTTGATTAAGATCGTCTCTTTTAGTGAAGCTGGCTTGGATCATGGATACCTTTTTGGGTGAACACTGGTTTTACTAAGATAGTTTCTTACTGCGGGAGAAAACTCAAGTTCAGATCCATAGATTTGGGAGTGTTGGGCAGGCTCATAACTGGTCCAAATCTATGGGTCTGAACCTGAGTTTTCTCTTGTCCTCAGGGCAAGGACGAGGAAGTTCAGGATGTGAACAATGTGTTCAGAAGCATATGTATATGTATATGTTCTCTACTAAACCTTGGACCACGAGAAGATCCAACCAGTCCAAACTTCAGGAAATAAAGCCCGGGAAGGATATTAGAGGCAAAGATGAAGCACTTTGGCCACATCATGAGAAGACAGGAAAGCTTAGAGAAGACAATGATGCTGGGGAAAATGGAAGTGGGGCTGACCAAGGGCAAGATGGATAAATGGTATCCTTATTACTAATAAGTGACTGGTTTGGGGGTGGTGACGGCCAACAGGGAGCTCTGGCTTGGACTGGTCCTTGAGGGCCTGAAGAGTCAGAAGCAACTGAACGAATAAACAACAATAACTAAACATTTTAAATTAATTGTATATTCTTATCAACTGTGAAGAAAGTTTGATCTTCTGCTACCAGCTTCAGCTGCTATCATGCTTAATGATCTCACTAGAGACTATTTATTTATGACATTTATATGCCGCCCTTCTCACCCCGAAGGGGATTCAGAGCAGCTTACAAGTAATATGTAAATACAATATATTATACAATTAGCATAGCACAATATTTGTACCATACATTCCCATATTGTACTGCACCACTATACTGTAATATTATTAGTAATATTACCTGTGATATGAAATATATAATTATAATATCATATTATGATTAGGAGTAGTATTATATTGTATCACATTATAATATTATCAATATTATATGTATAGATATTATATTATATTATATTATATTATATTATATTATATTATATTATATTATTAGCACAGTGCAGGAGACAAGGTGGAACTGTCTTCCTGGCCCCTCTCATCACTAGAGACTACTCTTGGTATCTGATTTTGGCTTTGACACATCAGGACTTGGGATGCTACTAACTTGGCAAAACTACTTTTGACTCAAACTACATTTCATTTAAACTCCATAATGCTGAAGTGGGAAACTTGAGAGTGGTGGGGAGGATCAGACTGAACTACTCCAGAATCCTTCAGGGGCACATTTGCTAGTAATAGCAAATTTCCTGCTACATTTGCAGCTGAAATTTGGTGACTCCATGGTACAGGACAGAACTGGACATTCATTCTCCTACACCAGGGAGTTCTGCGAGATCACAAGATACAAGTATGTCTTTTTCTCCTTTCTGAAGTGGCAGAAAAAGAAAACAGGTAGTAGTCCTCTGAGTTGGTAGTGGCATTAACAAGGAAGTCATTGAGCTGTAAAGGATAAAAAGGACTTATTGTTGCCTCTCAAGGTCTATATAGAGCTGACATGATTATAGGCAGTCCCTGAGTTACAAACATCAGACTCATAATTAAGAACGAGAGTGAGGCAAAAGGAAGTGAGAGAGAAAATACTTCTCAGAAGGGAAATTCACTCTTGAAAGAGTTATCATGGGGAAAAAGGTGTTTTCAATTATCACAGGGACAGAAAGTGAGGGGAAATCTAAACAGGGGCACAGACTTCACAACAAACACCACAGTGGTGTGAACCTTTCCCTGTTCCGAATTACATACATTACATACAGATTCAACTTAAGAACAAACCTACAGAACCTATCTTGCTAATAACTTGTGATATTTGAAATTAAATATATGGCCTCTGCCAAGGATCAGGACTACCATGTGCACAAAGTTGATGTTTAAACTTAGGTTTTTTAAATCCCTGATGCAGCAGGTAACTCTTACATATGGTGAGCGTGGAAACAAATTTCAGGAGAAAAGGACTAAACCATTAAAAAAAATTAACCTGCTACATAAGGGGGCAGATTTCTTAGTATTCCCTATACACAGTAGTCTGGATCAGGGACAAATGTATTTTCTTTTGAGTAAAAGGAACAAGAGGGAGCTACTTACCAAGGAATCAATATAACCAGTAGTTTTACTCTCTGTCTCAACTCCCTTTGCACTCCTGTTACCTGATTACTATGGCTTTGCTTCTGAGCTGCACACTTAACTGTTATATCAAGCTCTATCAATCAACCCTAACCTACTAAACTATCCGTACTACTAGTGAAAGGACTGCATACAGTATTAGTCAATATTTAATGCCTTGGTACTAAGCCAAGCAAGTCCAAAATTGCCTAGTTCTATTCCTGAAGGAAGGTGTGGTATAATGATGAATTGATGAAGTGAATCCCACTGGCTTCCACTGAACATAATGCAAAGGAAGAAGACTTAAGCACTTATAGTCCACATGCCTTACCATGAGTAAGCAGAAGTTTAAACTTTCATAGAATCAGAGAGTTGGAAGAGATCTCATGGGCTATCTAGTCCAACCCCCTGCCAAAAAGCAGAAAAATTGCATTTTTTCTTTCTTCTCCTGAAAATCTCCCATTACACCTGAAAATCTCCCACTACTTGTCAATTTTTACACCACTGCTCCTTTCCTATGTTGGATATATTAAGGGATCTTTGCAGGAGTAGGTGTGGAAAGGGTTAAACACCCCCTTCTCCCCCATGAGTGCCCCTATTAATTTATGTTATCTTAAGACATCATACATTGGAAGTACTCCTTTGCTGAGGTTGTGTATACTTCTTCCCATAGATGGAACAGAGATGCTATCAAGGCAAGATTTTGGGGCAGAAGTCCAGGGTCCCATTCAGCAGAATGAGCAGGAGGGCCCCCAAACACAGCAGGGCTGCCATACATCAAAATGTGGTAAGTGAATTTGGTAAGTAATGTAATATATATCACCATCTAAAGAGGGTGGGGTTGTAAGAGCTTGGTCATTTATGGCCACTGTATATACTGGCTGAGGGAGTGTGAGAGTTACAATTTGGAAAGTAACTTTGGAAAGTCTGAATTTACCCACCTGTGCCATTTAGATGGAGCCTTGTAAAAGGGCACAATCTGTGTGGTGTTGCTTTTTTGTTTGGAGCCTTTGAAATAGTATGTACCATAAATGCATACACAGTGGCACTGAGTCATGTTAGGCTTTCTGGAGTGTGATTTATCTTGGAAGCCACTAGAGTTGGTGGAGGGGATGACAGGCAAGGCAATGTTGCATTACTGTGTATTGTTATTGCTTGATTAATATCCTGCCTTGTCCATGAACTTAAGGTTCAAATTCAGGCCAGTTTCTAACACCAGTTAGCTTTCCTCATCACCCCCCCCCCACCTCCTTTAAACTAATAATTTTATTTATTTTGTATCAAAAGCATTGCATAAATTAGTATAAAACTGATAAAAATAGAAGGAGCACAAGCAGCTAAATATCTTTTGACCAAAAACGGGCAACAGCAATGGCATTGTGTGTAGCCTCCAACAGTTCTTCCTCTGTACATGAGGCAGGGCATAGTGCAAGCATTCAGATGCAGAGTTGTCTGTTCTGCTCCACAGTCACACAAGGTGGAGGATTCTTTTAGGTAGTGACATTTTGTCAGGTTGTCTTTTGATCTGCCCACTCCACCTCTGACTCTGTTCAGGGACTTCCAAGTTGGCCATTCTTGGTTTGCCCCTGGAGGAAGGCCCATGTTGGGGGGGGGGGGGGGGGGGGGGCGGCGGCATCCAATTGGGATTTTTTGGTTTAGCTGCCCAGAGGGATACTCTTGCTATTGCTGGGGGGATTTTAAGAGGAGTGGTGATTCTCATGAAGGTTTTCCTTGATTTAAGTCTACTGGGAGGAGGCTGATAGTTCAGTGGATGACTTTCACAGCGTTCAGCCTTATTTCTCTCACAGTTAGCAGCAACTTCCTGTCACACATTATTCTGCGTGTTTCATTCAATGCTAAGTTCACCTGCTTTGCATGGGCAGACTTGTGCCAAACAGGGCAGGCATACTTGGCAGTTGAGTAAGACAAGGCTAGGGCTGATGTTCTTATTAATTTTGGACCTTCACCCCATGTGCTGCCAGTAAGTTTCAACAGGATGTTATTGCATGCAGCTACTTCATATTTGGTGTTCATGCAGTGTTTCCTATATGTTAGTGTTAGTGTTCAATATAAGGTGACACCAAGATATTTAGGATGGAATACCTAAAAACCCCAAACCAATAATGAAATAATTCTTGCAGACTAATAAGTGTTTTAACCTTTTTCGCTCATTTCTCCCTCTCCCCTCACTCCTGACCCACAAATGTAGGATGAAGATGAGACGCCACAAGCTCTTTTTGACTCTGTGCATGGCTGGTCTTTGCCTCATCTCTTTCCTTCACTTCTTGAAGGCCCTCTCCTATGTTACGTTTCCAAGAGAACTGGCATCGCTTAGCCCCAACCTGGTCTCTAACTTTTTTTGGAACAATGCACCTGTCACCCCCCAGGTCAGTCCTGAACCTGGGGGTCCAGAGTTCTTTCGAACGCCATTGTACTCCCACTCTCCCCTACTCCAACCTCTGTCTCCAAGCAGGGCCAGTGAGGAGCTGTACAAAGTGGAGTTTGTGCTGCCTGAGGACATAGCAGAATACTTTGTGCACACTAAAGCTGGTGGTGTTTGCTTCAAGCCTGGCACCAAGGTGTTGGAGAAGCCACCAGCAGGGAGGCCAGATGAGAAAATAGAAGGTGCTGCTTCAGGGCGCATAAGCCGGAAACCTCTGGGCACCAATGGGACAAAGCGGCGTAAGTGGGTGGAGTGTGTGTGCCTGCCTGGTTGGCATGGGCCTAGCTGTGGGGTGCCCACTGTGGTGCAGTACTCAAACCTCCCCACTAAGGATCGTCTGACCCCACGGGAGGTACCCCGGAGAGTAATTAATGCCATCAATGTGAATCATGAATTTGATCTCCTCGATGTGCGTTTCCATGAGCTGGGTGACGTGGTGGATGTTTTTGTGGTCTGCGAGTCCAATTTCACTGCTTACGGTGAGCCACGTCCTCTCAAGTTCCGTGAAATGTTGCTCAACGGCTCTTATGACTACATCCGCCACAAAGTGCTCTACGTATTCCTGGACCACTTCCCTCCCGGTGGGCGCCAGGATGGATGGATTGCTGATGACTATCTGCGCACTTTCCTCACTCGGGATGGCATCTCCCGGCTCCGCAATTTGCGTCCTGATGATGTTTTCATCATTGATGATGCAGATGAGATCCCAGCCCGCGATGGTGTGCTCTTTCTCAAACTCTATGACGGTTGGACAGAACCCTTTGCATTCCACATGCGCAAGTCTCTTTATGGGTTCTTTTGGAAGCAGCCAGGCACTTTGGAGGTGGTTTCTGGTTGCACAGTGGGCATGCTCCAAACAGTTTATGCCACAGATGGGATTCGCCTGCGCCGGAGAGAATACTATACCATGCCGGGCTTTCGGCAGTATGAAAACAACACAGGTCACATCCTGGTACAGTGGTCACTAGGCAGTCCACTCCACTTTGCTGGCTGGCACTGTTCTTGGTGTTTTACACCTGAGGGAATCTACTTCAAACTGGTATCAGCCCAGAACGGTGATTTCCCTCGCTGGGGTGACTATGAGGATAAGCGTGACCTTAATTACATCCGGGATCTAATCCGGACTGGGGGATGGTTTGATGGTACCACCCAAGAGTACCCTCCTGCGGACCCCAAAGAACAAATGTATGCCCCCAAATATCTGTTGAAGAACTACCAGCGGTTTTCTTACTTACTAGAAAACCCCTACCAGAAGGCAGAGGGGGCTGGGTGAAGGGAGTGGGGCTTGCATGAGCAAATGGGATCTTATGGAAAAACGGGACAGTGAGGTGTTTCTTTTGTTTTTCCTTCCTTCCCTGACCCATTCCTGCTGGGAAGCGTGTGTTCTCTCCAGGCTCTATCTGACCCATTCCTGAAAAGAGACTTGGATGTGGGTATGTGAGGGGAATTCATAGTCATGTGAATGAGGACCAGAGGAAGTGGGAACTGGCCCCAAGAAGTAGCAGGAGATTGGTCTCCTTCACCTCTCATGTAGGATGGAAGAAAAGTTCTGATGCAGAAATCACCTCTCTGTATGACAGGTGAACACATAGGAGCATGCAGCTGGATGAGTGAGAGTGTGAATGTGTGAGCCTATAAAGCTGTGGCAGCTGAGATAAGGATGGTACTGAATCTCCCTTTTAAAAGCCAGTTTGATTCTGAGTCATTTGAAATCAGTGACTCTTCCATAGATACTGTTCTCCTTTAACATATGGCCATCCATTTGGCTCATAGAAACTGCAGAAAGTATACAAATCTTCTTGCTTTGGTAGTTTCACAGTTTGGCCAAAGAACACACTGACCCTGTTACAGCGTTCTTATTTATAGCTGCAACAGATGATTGGCAACTTAGTAAAACCAGGGTGTGTGGGTATGTAAGTGTAAGAGAATTTTTGTAGTTGACAACAGGAGTTGTGCTCATCTTGGATATGTATATTTTTGCCATGTGTGTTTTGTAACCCACTGGTGTAAGAATGAGCGCGCACAAAAAAAATAGGAGCATGGTAGCACCAAAGAACTCTGCTTTCCTTCTCATATTTATGGACATTCAGGGAAATTCTGCAAACTGGCAGGGTATGAATATTGAAAAGCGATTTTGCTCAGTAAATGGATGTTTGTGGTAGCCAACCTCTGGTGTGGAAGTAAGGGGGCTGCAATTCACAAGGGATAGATCCATTTGAGATATATTTCCCTTTTCCACCACAACAAAATGTCATGTTTACATTTTTGTCTGAAATGGGGTGCATGTAAATGCTTCAAATTGCTTCTAAGGAAAGGAGACATTGAGATACTGGTGCTCTCATGTCCATCCTACTACTTCTGGAACAGGAGAGGTGTAAAGGTACTTGGCTCTATGATGCCGCCATTTTGAGGAGAATGCTATATTGTTAGTCTAGCTTTTGCATACCCAATAAGAGGAAGGAGGTTGTATGTTTGATGGGACTGATATGAAACCCATGGTTACATCCTGATGCCAAGTGCTTAACATTCAGCAGTTGTTTGCACCCTTTCTCCTTCTGTAAAATTCCTCCAAAGTGACTTCAAATCACTTTATGCAGTTTGTGTCTTTTCAGTCTTTTCAGGGTAAAAGGTATTGTAAACCCCACAAACCCCATGAAAAGTTTGCTGCTAAAGGAATATATGAAACAATGAGCCGCTGCAAAAATTGCAAGAAATGGTGATAGCTCCATCCTTCAAAAAAGTGTTGTTGTTTTTACCAGTGGAAGAGTGTGTTTACTTTGAGATCCTCCTATTTTGCCATCCCTCGGCTTTCACCTTCTTTCCTCCCTTTATACATGGTCCTTGATCCCTCTAAAAGACACAGGAAACTGCATTTCTCAACCCCAAAATTAGGTCTTTTGTCCATAATAAAGATTGATTACATTTCCATAGGCGTGAAACCAATGTCAGGTTGGAACCAAGGGTTTTCCAGTAGTATAAAATTCAGCCTCTGTTTGCCCCCAAAAACAATGACTGGTGACCAACGTTATACACTTATTCTTGAACAATGATTTACATTGGATACTCATTTTCTCGTATACATGTCTTTTTGGGAATCTTTTAATGCTCTGGTCTATTGTAGATTCATCTTAAACTTTCAAGTTGAGCAGTAGAAGTGATCTCTGCTCCCAAAGGATGCTGGAGATGATTGTGAATTCAGATGTGTTTGGATAGAAAGATGGCCCAGCCTGCAAATTGGCATGAATGTTCCACCCTATTGCCTTGTATTACAGCTATCGTTGTCCCCAGCTGTGCTCCACCATACCTGATGTTTGGATTTCATGAAGTTTGACCATACCAATTGCAACAAAGATAGTACTCATACCATCTTCCAGACATTACTGGTCTACAGCTCCCAGCATTTTCCAGCATTGGCTGTGTTGGTTAGAGATGCTGGGACTGGCTACAGCCAGAGATTATATGATTCCCACTCTTGAATTAAAGTATGTTCCTTTACTCCTAGTATGTTTGGGGAGATGGGAGCAGTCCTCAAACTTTGGTGTCATGGAAAGTGGGTGTATTTGTTACCCAGCAGGGCTTAGTTTTGAGCTGGGACTTCTGATGCTGTAAGTCAGAGGTTCTCAAACTGTGGGTCTCCAGGTATTTTGGCCTACAATTCCTAGAAATCCCAGCCAGTTTACCAGCTGTTAGGATTTATGGGACTTGAAGGCCAAAACATCTGGGGACCCACAGGTTGAAAACCACTGCTCTAAGTTGAAATGGTAGAAAAGCAACCGTTAAGACATGACAAAACTTCACCATATCCTCTGTACTGGGCTATTTCTTTACCAGAGTGCACTCTGTCTTTCTTTGCTCCAGCTCAGCTGACTAACATTTTGGTCCCTGCACTTGCTGGACAGGGGGTGCTTTGTGTGTGCCTCTAGGGCTGGCCTTCACAATCACGGCTCATGAATTCTTAATACTCCCATCAGCACAGCCTCTAGGCTCCATCTGTCTCTGCCGCCCAACACAGTGAGGCAATTCCTAGCCTGGCCTTTATTCTTTCTGCAACTCCATAGCCCCCTCCCCTCCCAGCTCTCTTTTCCCACTTCCTCGGGTTTTCTCCCCTCCTCCGCCACTATATGCAAGGAACAGATCCCATTGTAACTGGGTAAGTTAGCACTGAATTCCTTTGGGACTCTGAAAGGACCCTTTGTTCGGCTTTTCTTCTTTGACTCCATCAAAGTGAAACTTGAAACTGACCTCTGTTGGGGAAGAAAAAGGAGAACTTACAGTAAAAGCTTTGCTTCTTCTTCTTTCTTTCTTTCTTTCTTTTGAAAGTTGCCATTTGCATAGGGTGGTGACAACCACCTCCTCATCTCTTCTCCTTCTTCTTCTTCTAAAAGAACCCAATTCCACTTAAGGACTGCCTATTTAATTACCTGTATTTATTATGTAGCTAGAACATAGACCCCTAGAGTTGACACTGAGGAACTTTGCACTATTCTTTTTTTTTCAAACTACTTTTGGCAGAGGGGTGGGTGGATAGCAGGTAGTGGTTACAAAGAGAAACGACTTTGGGAAAATATCATCCCTTCTCAGGGCACTTAATCCAGCCCCTCACTCTTAGGAGCAAATGGAGCTGGCTTGCTGTGTTAATCATAAACACAGTATTCAGCCTGAAGGGGAGGTACTGCGAATGAGTGAGTCACATCATCTTGTGACAGGTAGAAGAGGCAAACATTATCTCATCAGCCTTAGGGGTAGAGACCTTTGATGATTTAAGAGCTGGAAGGCACACAGACATACCAACATTGAGGAGGCCTACACAAGTAGCTAAACTTGCAGCTAAACAACAGAGTGCACGTGGCTGACACCTCATAGTGAGTCAGTTGTATCTGTGTGCCATACAAAGCTGCTGATACTCTTGCACATCTCTATTGAAAGAATGCATTGTGGGCTGGTGCTGATGAGCAGAGTGGCTCCACATTTGGTGTGGATCAGTGCCTGCCTACAGAACAGAAGTTGCTGCTTGAAGTAATTTTATGGATATCTGCCCCTGTCTCTACATTGCGGGCTCTTGTCTTTCATTTGAAATCAATGTAAATGCATGCATCCAATTTGTGTGCAATATTCATTGAAGCTGCAGCGAATGATGGTCTGAATCATATGGTTAGTCCTAAGTAGTGCAGACCCATCGAATCAATGGGATTCACCTATATGTTGATTCACAATTCAGCAATGGATTCAGTGGCTCTGCTCTAGTTGAAAACAATCGATTGATGCAGGCTTGTTTTGAACACATCAATAGGTTTTTGAAGGGGGAAGGAGTTTTTAAAACCTCACTTGTCACTTTAATGCAACAATAGCAGGTTGACCAAATGACTTAGCAGAGGTCTTTCCCTACTGCGCAGAATAGTGTTGTGTTTGCTGACTTGTAAATGTACTGAAGGTGCTTTGTCTACAACAGTGTCCTATACACATAGAGATTGCATTTCTTTCTAGTGCTGGCTTGCCAGTTGAAGATCTTGAATCCAACTTTGTACTCCTCTCTTTCACATTCCATGAGAAGCTGAAGAGGGTTGAGGAGTACCTCTTGTGGTTGTGTAGCAACAACAGGGCTGGTTTGCTTTGTCTTTGCTTCCCACTCCCACCCCACTCTTTCTTAGCAAATCTCCAGGAGCGTTTAATTGTGAGGTCAAAGCCAGGGACATTAGTTGTATCTAGTAACTGGAAACTCTCAAGAGTTTGTTTTGTAGGAGAGTAATTTTGGGTTGCGACCCCAGAATCCAGCATCCATCATAACCACTTACTCATGTCTACTGGTTATCCTGATCTTTCCAACATCCAAAGCTTATCTTCCCATTTGTTCAAAAAAGCCTCTCCTTTACAATTCCATTTAGCCCCTTCTTTTGAAACTGATGCCAGTGAAAATTGCAGAATTGTTCCTGGCCTGTATCTTTTTTCAGTTGCAATGTACTTCTTCCCTATTTTAAAACAAGCGACATTTTCTCAGATAGAGAAGTAAGAGAGAATTCCCACCTTCTTTGGGAGAGGAGCCACAGCCAAGGCGACTATAATGTCTAATAGTTTTGTGTCTGGAGACACTCTCTTTTCCCCTATATCTCCTCATATGGTCCCTTCCTTGCAGAGGGAAGTAGTCCAGGATGGAGACACTAGGCATTGGAGAACAGTACCATACTTTTTCTCTTGACTACTTTTTCACCTTCCATCTCTTGTACATTGCAAGCTAGCAAGATATATAATTTCTGGCATTGACAATTCTCTGAAAGTAATCTATTTGGATTAATTCTCACTTATGGCCATGGGGAGTCTGCAATTTTGAGGACTTTTCTCACCTTATCCAGTTTGATGAGACAAAATTGGTATTGTGCCGAGGACTGGATTTGGTACAGAACTGAGAGTTCCTCTCCTAGGGACATTTTTATTCCTTCACCCCTTCATCTCTCTATTGTCTTCCCCAATATCTGCCTTAAAGCTAAGTGTTCAATTGCTTAACAAGAAATCATAACTTATTTTCTGTAGCAGGCACAGAAGAATGCTTGCTATGAGTCATTTAAGTGGAAACCATGATTATTACTATTATTTTTTAAAATTGCAACTGCATAGAGCTCAGCCTGGAACGAACAATTGCCTGTTCCTAGTGCGCTGAGTTATTTGGTTTCACTTATCTATCTTCTCTGACATCTGCTAATGCAGATCAGACCTGTAGTGGCTATTCTCTAGATTACAAGGGAACACGATGCTATATAGACCTTAAGCTAAGCAATTTGAAAAGGAGGGGGAAGGACTCCACACACCTGCATTTATGTCAGCATCTAAAGTGCTTTTGTGACCTTCGGGGTGAACTTTAAAAAGGGAAAGTATAGAGGAAGTGAATTGTGGTGTGCGGACAGAAGCAGAGGGAGGAATTTGAAGGCACAGTATGAAAAAAAAAACCAGAAAAAATAATGATATGCCAGCCTCCATCAACATGGTGCCCTCCATATGTGTTTCATCACACTAGAGAATTAATCCACTAAAAATCCAGTTTATTTCGGTTGCTTCTACCTTGCCCTTTTCACTCCGGGGGGGGGGGGGGGACTCAGGGTGGCTCCTGCAGAATTCTGGGGTTTGTAGTTTGGGAGGCTGTTAAAATTTAGTGAGGATGTGATGAATTAACTATTACTTTAGATCCAGTTGCTGCCTCCTGCAGAATTCTGGGATTTGTAGTTTAGGGAAGAGCTCTTAACAGCCTCACTAAATTACAAACCCCAGAATTCTGCAGGAGGCAGAAACCGGATTCAAAGTGGATTCGTTCTCTAATGTGATGAAGTCATCGTCTAAATCATGTTGCATTTCCTATCCTGTCTAATACTTGTGGGGATGATGGAAATGGAGTTCAGCACTTACAAAAGGCAATAGATTGGGCAAGCTATTTTACACCTTCACTGAAAATACCAGGGCTGGTCTATCTACATAAAAAAGGGATATGTTGAAAAATGATCCACAAGGGTGTACTACCACTGTCCAGTGCAATTCCTGCGGCAACAACTGAGCAATATTCTGCAGGGAAGAGTCAAGAAATGGGAGCTCCGTTTCTCAAGGAAAGGCTATACACGATACAGGGGCTTTCTCCTACTGTACTAGCAAACCGTAATCGCTTTTTGTGCCCCCCTGTTGGCTAAGGAGTACGTGGGACTTGCCAAATAAGTAGAAGAAGCCCTTTAAAATCTAATTTATAAATAACTTTTGTAAGGATAAATCAAAGTGTACATACTGAAATCATTTTCTCTGTAAATGGTTGGATTTCATTTCACCCTTAAAGGGATGTTTAAAGGAAGAAATAAAACAAATTACAAACCGTGAAAGGGGAACTGGCACTTGTGACATTCTTTATTTCCTCCCAAATGGAATGGCATTCATTAAAAGGGAGGGGGGAAGGCTCACTTGTCTCTTTCAGCTTGGAACTGAGTATATTTGTATATCCATTCCCTTTTGCCTGGCAGAGCAATGCCCATTCGACTGAAGGATTGTATGCACAGTTAAGAAATGTTTGTGTTGCTTTCATAATAGGACAGTACAATATGTCATCAACCATTTTAATCACTCATATTATTTCCAATTGGAGCTGTATTTTTTCACGATGGGTTATTCCACACAGAATTGTCTATTTATTTATTTATCGTGTCAGGAGCAACCAGACAGTTGTATTACATTTTTAACAAAAATGGTTGTGCCATTACTGCTCAAGCAGAATTGTCTATTGAACAACACAGTTCAATAGACAATGGTTCAACGAATCCATCTCTAGACCCTAAAAAAGGAGCAGTGATGGCATGACAGTCAAAATATGGCTTAGTGTCACTAATGCTAAATTTCCATTGATGAGTCTGTTGTGAGTGTTAATGTTACAAGTAACTCAATTCATACATAGGTTGGTAAGTCATGGAAA